AAAAAATGCGTTGCTTTTTTTTTCCAATTATTTGCACTCACAGCCAAACCCCCCTAACCAATTTTTTTTTTTTTTTTTTTGTTCGAGGGGGTGGGGCTAGGGTTGCACCGCCCCATGGCGCTTCCCGAATCCCCAACCCCCCTCCCCACTAGCCACCACGTCGCCTCAAAGCCTCGCGTCCGCACAGACACGTCGGTGAGGTCACAGATCTTGCTGTGGCCGTGGACTTGGCCGTGCTTGGCCACGGTCAGGGGGGATTCGTAGTCACTGCAGCAAGTTCGAGTGCAAATGAGCAGGAAGATGGGGGCCACTACATACGTGCTGCTTCACCAGGGGCGCCCACTAAGGGAACTCAGAATAGACCCGCTGGCTTGGTTGTGGGAACCCTAGTCAGAGTGAACGACAACTTGTTGCAATACACTTCCATATTGGGTAGACAGATTCAAGAAAAGGAAACCAACCTTCCAACGACAGTGGCTGACCTGCTGAATAGGTTAAGAGGAGACGTTCAGCCAATTACAAGAGAGGATATGAAGACTCTCTGGACCCAGTTAACTGTCCTTCCCTCCCAAAAACTTGCAGGCATTCTATGGCTTCTTTCGCATGCGGCTGTACCCACCTCAACCTGACTCTTCGAAAGAGGGATGGACATTGATACAAATGTAGGCAGTGTGGAGGAAGGAGGAGGAAACTCTGCAGCACCTTTTTTGGGCATGCCCGACTTCAAAGAGGTTATGGCAGTGGTGGGAGCAACATTGGCTCCAATTCGTTGGTCCAATCCTATCCTGGGACGAGACCTGGGCACTTCATGGGCATATTCCGGCGACTTGGTTCAAGTGCAAAGGCAGAGGTTACGTAGCGCAGGCAATCAGATCAATCCTCATCTGGGTCATATGGGAAGCCCGCAACAACGTTCTCTTTCGCCAGCAATGGACGAGCGACGCCGCCCTTCTGGCTAAGGTCAAAGCATGGATCAGAACCATGATACGTGTTGACTGGACCAGGAAAGCAAACATAGGACGTACACTGCGGGGCAGGCACTGGTTTCTGGTCTCCTGGGCACGAGACAACCAATTAGCAGCAGTCACATTGGTGGGAGATTAAGTCATCTCATCCTGGCTTTCTGCTTGGTCTTTTCCCCCTTCCCCCTCTTCCCTTCCCCCACTTCCTCCTTCCCCTCCCTTATTCTGGTTTCTGTCTTGCTCCGGTTTTCATGTTCTTTTCTGTCCTTGG